AGCCTTGGACCTGCTTTGCCCTGGACCACGTGGGCCTGGACACCCTCCAGCTTGGGGCCCCTAGTTGGTGCTGCTGCGTTCCTGGGTATCTCAGATAACCCCGAGAGCTCTGTTACAGAAACCCCGGTGGGGTTATGGCCAGTTCCAGACAATTCCCAGGCACATCGGCCCCCTGAGCCCGGGGTAGCCACAGTGGAGGCCTCGTCTCTACTTCGGGTTTAGCCATCAGAGCCCCGCTGCTGTTCCTGGGTATGGGGCTATTATGGAACAAGGCTCCGCAGCAGACACGCTTACTCATCCGTACACGGGGTGGCCGGCCGAATGGGGGGAGACGTGTGGGGGGCATAGAGGAGGTCTCCACCGTCCCTCCTGCAGCTAGACCTCCCACAGCTCCTTTCTGACGATGCTTTCTGTGGCTTCACTCCCCTGCCCCGCCCCTCTCCAGGGCCTTCCTCTTTCCAAGTGACCAGCAGATCGACCTGGAGCTGTGGGCAGAGCAAGCAGAGTTTGACTTCACTGAGCTGCACCAAATGCGTGTGCAGGACAATTCCATATTCTCCATCAACCCCAAGGCTGGGAAACTGAGTCCTGGACAGGAGCAGATGGTGGAGTTCAAATACAGGTGCTCCCCCGACTGTCTGCCCGGCACTTCTGGTCCTGAAGACATCCCCCTCCCCCATCCCCTTGCCCGGACCCCTGGAGGAGTCTGACCTTGTGTTTATAAGTCCCGGGCACCCTGGAGTGCCACCACCTGGAAGGACCCACGTTCCCACCCGCAGGGGTGGAGGGGGTTAATCTCCTCCTGGCCCTATCCCGACTTGGTTTCTGCATGTTCTCAGGGACCAGCGGCCTCCAGACTGTAGGTTTGCTGTGGCCATTTATTCTTCTACTTGTACTCACCCTTGCATTTGTCCTGTCCCTTCTAGCCACCTATTTGTCGGCACTGATCGCCTCCCGGTGCTCTTCAAGGTGTCCCATGGCCGGGAGATCCTGGTGAGGTCCCAACACTCTGGTCTTGTCCCGGACAAGCAAGAGCATAGCAGGGGATGATGGCCCCCAGGGAGCTGGGCTCCAGGTGTCTCTGCTGGGCGCTGTAACTCTTCCCGCTTCTCACGGACTTCCTATTTCAGCTAAATTTCATAGGTGTGACGGTGAAGCCGGAGCAGAAGTATGTGCACTTCACTTCCACTAGACACCAGTTCATCCCTGTGCCCATTGGCGAGATGCTGCCCCCAAGGCAGGTCTGTGGTCTCCATCATCTCTGTCACAAAGCAGCTGAGGGTGATCCTGTGTGTCCGCATCAGCCCTTGAGAGAGTGACAAAAATCTTGCCCTCCAGACGCCCTCGGTCTTAAGAGGTGGGGCCTTAGGTTGAGCCTGGAGATTGGGTAACCAGGAAAGACCCATGGCAAGTTCCGGTGTCCTGGAGCACAACGTGAAGCTCTTTGCCAGGCCTCGCTCCCACAAAAAAGCCAGAGCTTTTCCCTCGAGCACAGAGTTCTTCAAACTTCATAGACAGTGAGCTACACTGATATATTCTGAATGATAGCCCAGTGCATACACACGTGTGTCGTGAACAGAAGTATCCCAACTCAATACAAACATAGTGATGTGTAAAGTACTCCACTAATTTCTGTTAAATTTTATCCTGCTCCATTTTTGATATTCTGGTCACAATCCACAAAATTGGTTTTATCACCTGCCCATGAATAGGCCTCTACCACGGTTTTGAAAAGCTCTTTTCCAAGTGAGATGTTGTTCTGAAATGTGAAAAATTGGAATGTGAATCCTTATGAAGCTTTAGAATGATTTTTTTAAGATTTATTTATTTATTCATATAGAGCCAGAGATGCGGAGGGTGAGAGGCTTCACCAGAGACAGAGTGGGGAGCAGAACAGGCAGATCGACGAAGTACACTGCTGAGGGGAGCAGCGGGCGGGTCAGGAGAGGTCTGCTGAGCCCTGTGGTCACCTCCAGGGCAGGCGGGGATCGAACTCATGCAGAAGTGGCTTTAGCTTCTCAGTGCTGTGCTTTAACCCGCTGCGCCACCAGGGAGGGCCAGAATGAATTTTTTTTTTTTTTTGACTCATTAGAAGGAACCAGGTGGCTTTGCTCTCGAATTATGCTTTAGAAATCTCCAAGAAGAGGACAGAGTTTGTCCCCAAACAGCTCCTGAACTAGATGTTTCTAACCATTTAGAAGCTCTTGTTTCTGGCCAGGGGCCTGGGGTCACCCAGCCCTAGAGGCAGAGACCTGGGCTCTCAGTCTGAGAGGGGGTCCCCTTGCCCAAGCTCTGTTCACTTTCCTATGTCAACCTCCACCTTGCTGGATACCCAGAAGCCCCAGGAGGCTTTTCTAAACCTAAGGCATTTCCAAACCTGCAAAGGAACTTTTTCTTGGAAAGGAAGGCAAAGTCTCATGTGCCCTCAGGAGAACTTTCCAAAAAGATCAATCCACTCCCCTGTGGCCCCCCACCATGGACAATGGAAATAGGCCTCACATCTGTGCCTCCAGCCAAACTCCACAGCTGCACAAGCTTCCCATTCCATTGGTGAGATGATGACAGGTGGGGGCCCGGAACTGCAAGAAAGCAATGAAAGTGAAAGTCCGAGCTTCCGGAGACCTAGCCTGAAGGCCGGCAATCTCAGAAGGGCCTGAGAAAAACCAGCGAGTTTCTGGCCCAATCTTGGAAATTTTAGCCAACATGTTAGTGGCAGAATCATGTTAGGGCTTGTTGGGGATCGGATTTTGGAAATAAGAGAAAGCAGCAGGTTAAGGATGGGTTGGGATCCTGTTTGAGCTACTGGAAATATGAGTTATTAGCTGAAGAGAGATAAACATCTGGGAAATGTAGGCTTGGACTCGAAGTTCCTGGTTTTTTTTCAGGATTTCCTGGTTGCTTTCAGCATGTTCTGTGATCCCCAGCCTTTGGAGTTAGGTCTCTGGGATCTCAGACTTCTCTGCCCCCTTGTCGACTTTTAAGCAGGACTGCCTCTGATGGCATGTGTGGAAATGACAGCCTCTGGGAGATCGGATCCAGAGTGCAGGGCGTGCGTGTGTGCATTCCCTAGTGCGAACACTAGGGGCGCTAGCATCACTCGGGAAAGGTGAGCTGGGAGCAAATCGTGCAAGGGCTGCTGATTATGCTAAAATGCACAGGCTGAAAAAACAGCTTCATACTTTTTGGGTGACCAGGGTGCAAGAGAGGGTCTCCCTGGTGGTACAAGGGGCTATGAAGTTACCCGCAGCCACTGCAGCATGAGTTTGACCCGGGGCCCGGGAGCTGACCCCCATGGCGCAGCAGACCTCTCCTGACCGGCAGCTGCTCCCCTCAGTAGTTTATTTCAGTGGATCAGCCTGTTCTGCTCCCCACTCTGCCTCTGGTGAACCCTCTCACTCCCTGCACCTCTGGTTTACCCTCCAGTTCTTGTGTGCATAAATAAATAAAATAGATTACAAAAAAAAAAAAAAAAAAACTAAAAAGCTACCAGATAAATCAGGTATTTGGGGCAGCTCTAGAACTATAAGGGTGACATCACGGAGACCCACCTGCCCCCCACAATGGACACAGAGTCCCACGCTCTGCCGCTCTGAGTCAGTGTGGGGATTTTCCTATTTCTGCCTCCTGCAGATCTATGAGATGTATAATGGTGGCTCGGTGCCGGTGACATACGAGATCCAGACCAACATCCTGTCACAGGTTCAGGAAAAAAACTTCAATCACCCCATCTTCACCTGCCTCAACCCCAAAGGGGAGATCCAGCCAGGCATGATCGCTCGGGTCCTGTGGATCTTCTCACCTATTGAAGCCAAGACCTACACGGTGAGTCGAGCTGTGAGATCATGGGGGGGGTGAGGGGCTGGAGCTGGCCTCCCCTGAAGGCCTTGCTCTGACCAGTCCCTCCCCACTAACTTCGTAGGTGGACGTGCCCATACAAATCCTGGGGTGGAACTCAGCCGTCATCCGCTTCCAGGGAGTGGGCTATGACCCTCATGTCATGGGGGACACCGCCCCGTTCCACAACATCACCTCATGGGACAAGAGCTCCGTACAAGCTCGGCTAATGGTCCCTGGACAGGTAGGGGAGGGGGCTGGGAGGGCCTGTGGACTTGGAGAAGCCTGAGGCCCCAGGGTGGCCAATGAAGAGGGGTGGGGAGAGTAGGAGGAAAACAAGATGGAGTTGAGAAGGGAGGAGGCAGAGGCGAAGCCTGCAAGCAGCTCCCAGACTAGAAGGCAGCAGCAGCTTCACGAGAGACTTGCCCCGCCACTTAGTGCCAACAGGTGTGCCTGCTCTAGCCACCCTCCATCCTGCCATCTTCTCTGGGCTGGGTTGGGGGTCTTGGAAGGGGTAGAAAGCAGCTCTCCCATCCTAGGGTTCTATGGTATCATTTTCATACAGAACAGTCCTTCCCATGGACCTCGACGGGTTTTGCTGACAGATAATCTGGGGTGAATCCTTAGTTCTACACACCCCTCCCTGTTGGGGAGTCTGACCCATTTGTCCATGCCTCCACACCCCTACCAAGCCATCCTGCACACACCACCGGGTTGTTGACACCCACGCCCATTTGCTCACCCCTGTCATGTGCACCTGTCCTGTGCGTGGCCCAGGCACTATCTGGTGAATCCTCTCTGAAGCTTGGCCTCACTTATGGGCGTAAGCTTCTCACTGAAGCTTTAATATGGGCAGCTGGTTCCTTATCACCAAACCACAAAGCCCCAGGGCTCAGGGGGTGTTCTGCCTGTCTGCCCTGCCCCGCCTATCCTCATTGGACTCCTAGGGCAGGATGAGCACTGTGGAGGCCCTGGAGACACAGGAAAGCGTCAAAGTCCCAGTCCCAGGCCTCCCTGGTGGCGCAGGGGATAAAGTCAGTGCTATGAAGCTATCAACAGCCACTGCAGCAGGAGCTCGATCCCCGGCCAAGGGGGTGACCCAGATAGCACAGCAGACCTGTCCTGTCTCGCCGTCCCGCTGCTCTCAACAGCGTATTTCAGTTGATTCCCCTGTTCTGCTCCCTGCTCTGCCTGTGGTGAATCTTCTACCCTCCTGCACCTCTGACCTACACCCCGGCTCTCATATGCACAAATAAACAAATCTTTAAAAAGCAAAAAGTCCCAGGCCTGGAGGTACCCAGGGTCTAGACAGAGGAAGTGCCCCTTCATATGGCCTCTGTCTTTGTAGACACCCCAGCTCCTACTCTATGCTGAGGTAAGATGCCAACGCTGATCACCTATTAATCTGCAACCATCCTACAGTGACCAGAAATAATTGGTTTTAGATCCACCTTCTCTAAGAGAATTCTGCTTTCCCAACCTTTCCAAGCCCATTTTATAAATGGTCAAAACCACAGACTTTATAGAGTGAGGCTGTCACAGGTTACCCCAGCTGTTTCCAGGAGAGACCTTTGGAAGAAATTGCTTTTGCTCCCTGAACCTTCCCAGCACCTCTGGGGGAGGGATCGTGGTGCCATGTGGCACAGATGTATGCCTGCAGGTCGCCTCCATGGTACCTGGCCTGCTGAAGGCACTCGGTAACTGGGGGCGGTTGCCATGGTTATTATTTCTTCACCTTCCAAAGTTGCTGTCATGTTTTCTCCACCAATAGAATGTCTTCCTGTCCCAGTATCACATCTCCCTGGGAAACATTCCTGTGCAGAGCAAGTGCAGCCGCCTGCTGTTCCTCAACAACATCTCCAAGAGCGAGACAGTTGTCTTTGTCTGGCAGCTGAGGCCTCTGGAGTTCGGGGAGGTGAGTGTGTCCTGTGCCCACAGAATCCGAACCTACAGCAGTGTTCC